GCTTAACTAGTTAATTCATGTTAGCTTGGGATGTGGGTGTTTCACAGTATAAATAGGGAGGTCTTAGGTAGCTCATTATGCACGTGGGCGGTTCCTAGGTTATTTACCAGTTCTCAGTTCTTAGTTCTCAGTTTTCAGGCAAAGTCTCAGTCAGTCAATCAAAGAACAGGTGCAGGAATCAGAGCCATAGCAGAATCCTGTGAAGCCTATAAGCTGTTTTGTCTGAACGGAGAATAAAACAAGCAAAGAACTGGGTTTTGATCCTTTTTTGATCTTTTTGGACTGCATGAGCCAGAATCCACGGTGCATCAGGTGTGTTTTCAGTTAAGTTCACCTTTTACTTTGATCACCTTTACGTTTTAAGCTCTTTGATATTTTAGTTTTGTACAAACAGTGTCTACACTGTTATAGGAATATGTACTTAAGGCTTTTAAGGTCGCTGGAATTAAACCTTTGCTTAAGGAACCGTCTCTTGACCCAGATGACTTGGTCAATTATAGACCTATATCCAATCTTCCTTTCTGATCTAAAAAGCTCTAACAATTTGATTGAGGTATGATTTACCAAAATCAACCAATCCTTTGCAGAGTTATGGCCCTGCATAACCACACACAGTCAGGTACTGTGAAACTGTGAGGACGCAGATATGTGTGTTTAGTGGGTCTGCTTAGGTTGAATTTAAAAATAGTTGCCCAAAACTTTCAGATTCAACCCTTGAAAAATATATGTTTCTAAGAAAATGTAGATGTCACAGACTGTGCCAAATTTTTTTTTTTACAAAAAGTTCATTAGACGTTTCTAAAGAGGCCATATTTCAGAATCAGAAATACTTTAATGATCCCAGAAGGAAATTTTATCAAGAGTAATTTCCCTCTGGGATTATTAAAGTATTTCTGATTCTGTAATATGTGAGACAACAGGTGATCAGGTGAGTTTGTTGAATATTTGGACTTGATTTCAGTTCATTTTAAGTAAAAGATGTTATACAAAAATTACCGTTCTTTAGATCTGATCCAGGTTTGTGGTACAATCAATCAATCATCCTAAAATCTGCATCACTTTGTTAAAACTTTAAAGGAAAATACTCCAATGACTCCAAAGCAGCAGAAGTTATGATGTAATAAAGAACATAGTATAAATTATAAATCCTTCATTTCTTTTTCACTCTTTTCCAGTTATATTTAAATTACATTATTATATTTCCAGTTATATTCATTATTGAAGTTATTTAGTATTTGGGAGGTAATTTATCCTCTTTTTCCCTCTGAGCGACATACTGAGGTTTCTCTTTGACTTTTTACAAAGAAATGATCTGGTGCTTTTTTCTTTTTTAATTAAGACATTTAAGCCAAACTCAAGGTCTGATAATTGTATGCTTGTGATTAGGATTTGTTCTATCAAATGTCTTTTTTTACTCATTTTCAGGTTTTTGTGTTTAAGACATCAATATCAAGTTCTTCCAGCCCCACCCTTGGAAATCCACACTCAGGTAATCCAGACCCAACCTGTTTGTCTGTATGCTTAAAATGCATCACGAAGGCAAGTCAAATTTATTTGCATAGAGCCGATGTAAAGACTCCTCGCTTCATCCACTATGACTTTCTGTCTCCAAGGTAAAGTGGGAGTGGTAGGTTGGTGCTGACTGGGATGACCTGGATCCCTGCTTAGCAAAGCCTCTCTGCTCAGATATTTGCCTTGACTTAGTTTAGGTTTGTTTGAATTTGTTTACGTTTTCCAAACACAAATGAGCCAGGTGTCTTTGCTTAGCAAGACAAGATGACTGATCTCATGAACAGTTTCCATTCATGTACCAAGCTCTAAATTCATTGTGATAATACAGGGTATTATAGAACAATCCATCAATGTCTTTTGAAAAAATATTCGATGAGGAACAGAAATTGTCGGATAAAGCAACGGGGTACAGATGATGTTACAAAATAAAATCAAGGAAATAAACCCAGATGACCACCTTATAAATACCATCACCACGTCTGATTTTTTTCCCCAGTTGAAAATAGACTAAAAGAAAAACACTTTGTCCTGTTCAGAACCATGGACAGTGCCATGAACTGCGTTAAACAGCAGACTGCAGCACAGCCAGTGATTGGCCATTTCAGCACCATGGCCAGAGCCACTTAATAAGCCAAAATTGCCCTAAAAACTTGTTCAAATAAAGGTTAAAATTAAGATATGAAATTAACCAGCGGGATGGTAAATGAAGAAAAATGACACTCAGGATGATGGATGCCACATGGTCTAGCCATAGTCTGCAAAATCATGTCAACATGATCAATTCAGACGAGTGTACAAGCATTGTGGGGTCTGTTGATCCGCCGCCCGTGCACTTCAGTCATTATTTTCTCTCAAATGCATATATATGCAAATGGAGACAGAGGAGAGATTGCCAGGCAGTGTAATGCGAGGCAGACGAATCAGGTGGTTGACATGCAAGTCAAAGGTTGATGCGCATCGAGTTGGAAAATGGAACTTTAGCTGCTGGACACGCCACATCAACCAATGAGAGAAGCTGATCTGGGAGCTGGGAGGTGAGACAGAAACAGCACTGCTGATGCAGAGCGCTATGATCACTCCTCTGAAACAGTTTATTAACGCCTTAATTAACTTAAAATGCCAAAATTTGTCAGCATAACATCTTGCTTTTATCATTCTGCTGCCTGCCGACACGACACCTAGCGTAAGTGTCTTTGCATTTCAACAAATGCTTAATTAATTTATTTTTTATTATTCTTTTGGGTTTTTTTTTTCTGGAACCACCTTGATGACACTGTTAGTGAATCAGGCAAGAAAATGAAAAAAGTTATTTTAGGGACTAACCAGACAACAAGAACAGTTTTTTTTAGGATTATATTTCCAGTTGTCTTTTATTTCTTTGTCTGAATTTTCCTTCATCAAAAGAATAAATATGGTCTTAAATGACAAACAATAATATCCAGACAAATTTAATGGTGGAATCTCAATTTTTTTGCTAAAAGCTTATTAAATTCCATTTTAATTTTTATATTGTGACTGTCTAATATTAAATGTCTATTTTGCAGTGTTATTTTCATGGCAGCCACCACGGCCTCGAGGTTTACAATTAATGGGGCTTTCTGATTTAAAAAAAGTTAATAAGCAGATAATTTCATGCTTTATTTTTTATATTTCTCAATATTTTTCAATACTTTTTCACTATTTTTTTTAGGTCCCCTTTTCTCATTTTACATTTACTCAGGCAGATTTATTCAGAGCATTTGGTTATTAATAAATTACTTTAAATTAGATTATTCCTCACTTGTGACCAGGAACTTTGGTGTTCAATTTGACAATTTAAACCACTCCTGATTTAAGAGAAAATGGTATCATAACATATTTTATTTACGCTACATTATCAATCCTCTCATTCACCTACTGGAGAACCAGTCTAAGATAATCCAGATCCAACCTGTTTGCTGTAACTCTGAGTTATAAATTAAACATAAAAATGACAATGGTTCTTTGTGATTTCAGAGTCTTTGACCAACACCACAGAGGAATCTTGAAGCTGAAAGATTTTTAAATCCTCCATCCTGAAGGTGAGAAGCTGAGAATCAAGTTTGATCTGCATCAGAAACTGCAGCATCTCCCTGTTAACTTCTGACTATAAACTTTTTATTCTTTGTCTTTTAAGGCTTCCAGTAGATTACACTACCTGAGGACACCTTCAGTCATTACCATGGCAACTTCATTACAAACAACAAGTGAAAGGTTATCAGTAGCTCTTTTAAACATAAATGGTCTGAGGCATAAAATGGATTATATTCGACACATAATATCCCGGGATAAGGTCCATGTTTTTGCTCTGTGTGAAACTAAATTAGACGCTTCAGTTGAAGACAGAAAAGTTGGTATTCCAGGTTTCAGGTTGTGGAGGAGGGACAGGAAAGAGAAAAAAGGAGGGGGGGTTGCTCTCTATGTTAAGAATGATATTGAAGCTAAAGAAAGGACCGACCTGATGAGGACTACAGCAGAGATCATTTGGGTTGAGTTGGACATTACTGGCAGCAGACCAGTTCTACTGGGATGTTTTTACAGACCACCAAATAGTGATAGAGAATATTTGGATAAACTGTATGAAAATATGACTTTAATGTTAAAAGAGAAGGAGGAGAAAGACATTTTTGTCATGGGAGACTTTAACATTGACTGGAGCAAAGATTCTCTGCTGAATTATATTGCTTTGAAAGTTTCATTTCATTGGGGGTTTCAGCAGATCGTAGAAGATCCCACCAGGGTGACCGATACATCAGCAACGTGCATTGATCACATTTATACGAATGTTCCAGATCTTTGCTCAGAACCTGAATCGAGCGAAACTCGTTTCAGTGACCATAACCTCATTACTGTCACTGTCAATAAGGATATTCCTAAGGGGGTTGGATGGTTGAACCAAGACTTCATTCCAGAGACATTTCAGACTGATATTAAAAGTGTTGATTGGAAGGATGTCTATGAGGAGTTTGATCTTGAGAAAGCTCTGACCATGTTTACTAAGAAGTTTCTCACAATAGCCACTAAAAAAATTTATAAAACTTTAATATCTGAAAGAGATAAAGCAGAAGGAGAGTTATGTGAATATGTGAAAAAACAAGTTTTAAAGGTTTTTAACAAAAAGACGAAAGAAACATTCCAGCAAACACTCGAAGAAGCTAAAAATGATCCTAATAAGCTTTTGAAAGTACTTAGAGAGTTTTTGGGAGAGAGTTTGCCTTCATATGTGATCAACATTACAGAAGAAGGAGCTGTGACCTCTAAGGTAGAACATCTGGATCAGCTCTGTCAAACCTACACTGGAACCAAAGACTTAGAGTCCATCTTTGAAGGTTCCAGAGAAGATGAGAGATCAGGTTTATTTAGCTTTAAAGAGATTGATGCTGAAACAGTGAAGAGATTATTGAAGCATCTCTGTGATCATGTGACTCATGGAATCTATGAAACTGAAGCTAAGCTGCTGAAATGTTCAGCTGATGACATCTTTGTTCCCATCTGTCACATCCTGAACAGATGCATCAAGAGTGAAAAGATTCCTTTTGAGATGAAAGAGTTTATGAGAATCCCATCTTCCCTGAATAACATGACTCAGCTCAGAGATGTTAATAGTCTCCACATTATGTTAGGTTGGATCCTTGATACCGTTCTGTTTTTACAGGCCAAGCAGCATTTTATTGATGAGAGCCTGATCCCTTCAGCAACAGTTCAGGATGAAATTAATCAAATAGAAACTGCTTGGCTGAAAGCAACAGCAGAAAGGAAAATAGTTCAAGCTGTGTTCTTGGATTTCAGTTTTTCCTTTTACACCATCAGATATGATCTTCTAATTGAAAAACCATTTTGTCCTAGTTTCTCATTTTCAGCTCGTTCTCTGATAAAAAGCTTTCTTTCCATTGGTCAAGGTCCTTGCGGTCTTCCTCGAGGAAGCCTCCTCTCTCAACTGCTCTTCACCGTCTTTATCAAGAGTCTCTTAGGCACACCCTCTGCTGTTATCTGTGATGGTTGTGTCATGGTTTACTGTGAAGGAAGAAACTCTCAGGAGTTAAAGATAATTTTAGATAGAAAAATAAAATCAGTAAATGATCGAGCTGAGAGATTCAATATTTCATTTGCAGAAACCAGACCAGAACCATTCAAAACCAGGGATAAAGACATTTTTGACATTCTTCAATCTCTGTATCAGAGCCATAAAGATCAGTTAAACTGGATCAGAGCTTTGGGGATCATAATGCAGAACCATTGTGATTTGAACAGTGATCAGATCTTAGAAAAACTAGAGGAATTTTGGTAAGAGACTTCTTGAAGCCGTTTCTGCTAAGAAGAGTGGAATCAATTTTCTGCGGCTGTCTAGACCAGAACTCAGAGCTTAGAGATGTCAGAAAGTTTGTTGGATAGTAAGTAGTTAGATAAGTAAGACAGTAAGTCAGTCAGTCAGACATTGAGTTTGAATAAGCCCTTTATAGCCCCTTCTGGGAAATCTACTAGCATTTATACACCACACTCAGTGGTGCCCAGGGAGAACCCTGCGGTTCAGGATCTAACTCAGCTTAACAATCTGAACCTCCCCAGGACGCTAAAACTCTCCAACCATTAGGTAACTGCTGTGTCACAATGCATCTGCAAATTAAGGCTTAAATCAGTTGCAACCAGACTTTGGTTCAGTTTTTCTGAAAGTATTCTAACACCTAAATAGAGACTTTATTAGCTCGCTCTACAGCAGTTCTTGAACCTGTTCATCTGATTTAAAGGATTATATGACATCCTCAGCCGCCATCATGTGCTGGAGAAACATTGATAATTGTTTTATATCAGTTGGATGTGTCGAAATGAGGACAAATCTAAGGTACAGAAGGCAGTAGTACTTGGGGTTTGGGATTGAGAACCACTGCTCTATAGCAGCTCTAGTTGGAGCTCTGTTGTTTTTAATCCCTTGGATAACTTTCCTCCTGGATGAATTCAAAGTCAGAGAAAGAAATTATTAGTTACATCATGATTCCTAGCAAATAAATCTGGAGTTCCTGCTTTAACTTTTATTTATTCAGTTTTGTACTCAGTTCTGTCCAAACAGGCAGCTACAGCTCCTGCTGCAGCTTCATCTTCCTCCACCTCTCTTCTCCTTTAGCTCCTGCCTCCTTGCTCCTTTACAAGGACATGCCGTCTCTCATACACATTAATTACAAGCACTTGACTTTAGTCTGTATCGCTGTTTTCATAAAATTTGCATGTGAATTCTGAGTATTCTATTGAATTACAAAAACATGTGAATTACCCTGTATCAGCAATGAAAAACAGAAAACATCTTAGTGAGCATAAAAACCTTTCATGCTAAATGTAATAAATTGATTTTAATTTTATGTTTTCCATCTATCATTGATGGAAACACAATTTGTTATCAAAGAGAGTCTGTGGGATTTCTGATTAAAGAATGCAAATAAGTCTTTTCCTTAAACCTAAAGAACATTTATTTCCATAAAGCAGAAGATATTAAACTTATTGTTTACTTTGTTTCCTTCGTCAGTAATATCATTATGCATAAGCTCATTTTAGCTCCTGAATCCTTTTATGAAGATAAATAATTTTCTTGTTTTATATTTAACAAATATTTGTGAATATTAATGTCAATAATAATTAAACACAGTAAAATGTTTCATATTAATTATTTGTAGTTGCATTTCTTTACTAGATTTGATGTCATAATGCTGAAAAAATTGCCTTTAAATATCCCTTTTTTATGTATCTGATCTGTTTCCTAATGTATGTAAACAAGACGGATTTTGTTGTAAATCTATTTTCTGATCACAGTTTATGTTTAATCTAGATTGTAATAAAAATATATCATCCTTGAAACTGTTTATCTATACATTTTGTAAGAAAATATGTTTATCTGAAATTACTTTTGAGTTGAGTTCATAAACCCAGTTTGCGGTTTTTCTTTTAGTAAGATTGTTTTGCTGCAGAGTTTTCCTGCACAGCTGGGGTCCGTTTCATGAAGCAGGGTGACTGAAAACTATTCTTTTTTTAAACCTGAAATCAGGGAAACTCAGTTTTTCTCATTTAGACGGGATAATTCTACTGTAATTATTTTTAAGAGCATTAAAATAAAATCATGAATTAGTCCCTTTAGAGACATCAGGTGTTAAAAATAAAAACATAGCAGATCCTTTTGAGGAGGATCTAATTAAAGGATGAGCAGCATTAACTCACAGAGAATAAAACCACTTATAGATGTTCTTTATATTCAAAAAGTTATCACTATGACCACGAATGTTTCAACTCACAATCCATCACATACATCCAGACCTCATCCATCCTCACATTAGCAGCATTACAGACTTCTTTAAGGTATTTAGTAGAACTGGATATCAGTGACAGTGAGAGAATATTGATGTGTGATAACAGCATTATAGAAAACTACTGCACAGTCAGACAGACACTCATTATTTACTGTGTGATGGAAGACAGAAATAAAATGAGGAGGAACCCCATGAGATGATGAACAGGTTCTACCTGTTGGAACAATGTTTTATACTTCATCTTCACCTGCTGACAGGTTATTGCACCTAAATTTCATCTAGAAAACAAGTTTCCCCCGTGATGTTATTGTAATTAGATCAGGCTATGGCAAGCCATTTTGATATGTATTATGTTTTCTGAATATGTATATCTGATATTTGAAAAACATATTCATCTTCATATTCTTCATATCTAGAATAAACATTCTAGATTTGTAGAAATTAATTTCACATCTCCATACTCCTATCCTATTGTTACTGGTCTTTATTTGTATTATTTTGATCAGAAAGAAACATATCACTCAGGATGTGAAGTTTGCTAAAATGAGACCACTAAATAATTACAAATATAAAACAGGAAGTGGTTTGGAGCTGATGCAGAATGGAGTGGAAGTAATAGGCCAAGCGTGGACCAAAACAAATACCACAGCATCAATTCATACATATTCATGCTCATTTTCAGTGTCAGACAAATACATAAATATCTCCTGATTCTGACTGAACCGGATCTGAATCACATTTATTTCCTCAGATGATCCAGTTCACTTCTCAGCAATTGGGAGGTGACTCAGGAGAGTAGTTTGCAGAGCCGTTCTCAGAACAGGGAACTGAAAATAACAGAGGTTATTAGGGATATGAAGTATTTCCAACAGCTCTGAGATGCTGAGGGTGTTAGTGTGTCTGTAACACCCTGTAAAATAGTGGCTGGAGTCCTGCTCCTCTTATTCAGCTCAGGTAATGAGGCTGATGATCTGCAGGTGCAGAAGGACTAAACCTGCAACTGATGATTCAGCCCAGCAGTAAATCCCAGGAGTGGCGCCCTCTGGTGGAAGAACCTAAAGGATAAAGATAATGAGAAGTTGGAGCTCTCCATGGTGTATCTTCTTGGCTTTAAACATTTCAAGAAAGACATGTTTTTTGTTTTACTTTGTTCCCTCATTGAAAGAATTGCTTGGTTGTCCAGTGGTTTTACCAGAAGGTTCAGAGGAATTTATGTTGTGTTTTTTATTGTGAGGTCAGAGGTTCACATTGTTTTAGGGCTGGAAACAGGCAGATCTTACAACCCTGGGCAGTAAAGTGTGGGTGGAGTTAGTAGCTGTAAAGTACCTTTACAAACGTAGGCCTGGTAGATAATATCTTATAAACGTTATTGTCCCACCATGGGGAAATTCATTCTCTGCATGTAACCCATCCCCTTGGGGAGCAGTGGGCGGCCATTGTCCAGTTTCCGAGGAGCAATGTGGGGTTAAGTGTGTTGCTCAGGAGGCAGTGGGGATGGAACCGGGTACTTGCAACATCCTCAGAGCACAAGCACACTTGTAAAATTATTATCTACTAATTTATATTTATAAACTAATAACTGGTTATGTTAATTTTCAAGCCATGTTTCTCCCAGTGTGATTTCTTGCAGTTCTGCTGTGGTATTATAACATATTATTAACATCACCCTCTGGTTCAGAGTCTGACTATTTAAGCTAGAGCTCCAGTCTGTATGGTTCTGACCTGGAAGCTATGATGCCTCCATGTTCCTCAGCATCACTACCTGAGCTTTAACTGGTTGATGGTTCAACCACACCATTTCCATCTCCATTATGCTGAGCTAGCTCCAAGAGTATTGCTCTAGATATAAATCAGCGTGCTTCCATTGA